TTATGCCACGTTCAGCATTTGGTAAACTGAGCCTCTGCCATGATGAACGCCTCAGCGCCTGACACGTCCTCGTGGTCGTACAGCATCAGGGCCAACTTCTATGCCCTGACGCCGGCCGAGACCTACTACGAGAACATGTGGCAGGTGCCCAACATGGTGGCCATGGTGAGTTGTGGAAAAGGACGAAAGGGCTATTTCCCTCTTGTGAATGATTACACTCTTTTGTTTTTCCTTGACACTTGGTATCTCTCTCTGGTCGTCTTCAGGCTTTGCCGATTATGGTGCTGATGTCGGTAATCGAAGCGCTGATCCTGAAGCTCACCAATCGAGACAACAACTGGCGTCTCCACAATGCCGTCCTGAACTACTCGAGCGGAGGACTCACGGAAGCAAGTAACAAGTGAGTTCGACCTTGAGGAAGTATCACTCTGAGTCAACTTGTCAAACCAGAACACAGCGGACAGGTGGCGCTTCCATCTTTGCAGGATTGATTGCTGTAGAGCAGATAAATCGTTTTGATGAACCTATGGATGATAGTTTGGATAGATACGGCATTTAAAATAAAACTAAACTTGCTTAATTAACAGCAATTATTATAACAGTCAAAAAAGTGTCAGAAAACGATCACTGTTTAAATATAACAGTAAAAATATGTTAACAACAAAAACAGCACCGAGAATACTAGGAATGACGATGGTGATGCTTCATAACGCCAAAGACAAATACATGCATCCAAATTGATTTTCAGAATAATGATCGTAACGAACTTTCCACAACAGGGTTTTCAATTCTTCACTCCTATCTGTCACAGTTTCATCTTCCGAGGCGCCGAGATCACGCTCTACAGCTGGCTCTACAACAACTGGCGCCTCAACTACCTGGCGTGGGACTCCCTCTACACCTACTTCTTCGCAATGCTGGGAGTCGAGTTCTGCTATTATTGGTGGCACAGGGCCTCTCATGGTAAGGGCATGTCTATTTCCACACTTTCTCCTTCTTGATTGATTCTTAAATAGAGGCCGCCCTAGGCACTTGAATTTGCCCTTCTAGAACCATCAATTGCAGAAACGGGTCTGATGTGGGCGGCCCATTCCAGCCACCACAGCTCCGAAGACTTCAACATGACGGTGACTGCAAGAACGTCGTGGACCATGAGGCCTTTAAGGTACATTCATGTATTTGGTCGACACATACAAAGCCAGTGTGGTATACCATTACCCTCCCTTTGGTCTATCTAGCTAGCAATTTGTGTGTTAAAAATTCAACCCTCTCATTTCAGCCACGTAATTGATATATTTCCTTGTAAGGTGGATCTTCTTCATGCCTCTGGCCATCTTGGGGCTGCCGCCCGCGGTCTTCTTGGTCCATCAGCAGCTATCCTTCATCTACGCCGGCTGGACGCACAATGAGACCGTGCCCAAGCTGGGCAAGGTCATCCCCGGCCTGGGTCACGCCATCGAGTTCGTCTTTCACACGCCCAGTCACCATCGCGTCCATCACGGTGCGTCCCTTTGAGCGCAAAGCTTCGGTTTAAAAGTCGCAGTATATTAACCATAATGTTTGACAATAAACAAATTTCCGTCAGCCTATCTGAGTTTTCACGCATCGGATCTTATTCGACTCTTCCGCTGCAGGCGCGAACAAGTACTGCATCGACAAGAACTACGGACAGACGTTCATCATCTTCGACCGCCTCTTCGGCACCTTCGCCGAGGAGCGCGAGGACGAGCCGCTCGTCTACGGGACGCTCGGCCAGGTGGAGCACAACAGCGCCATAATGATCCACGTGAGTCGGGGAAGTGGACGGGGGAGGAGGGCAGCTGCCATGTGGATGCTGATCCGTAGGATATGGCAACAGCCTAACTCGTTTTTAGTGCAGGACCAGCTAACGCAGCGCTCGCCTCCCGCAGGTCTCGCCCTGGGTCGAGCTTTGGCAGAAGACGCGGAGCATGACCACCTTCGGCGACAAGGTGCGGGCACTCTTCTACGGCCCCGGCTGGGCCCCCGGCAAGCCGCGCCTCGGGGACCCCGCCGACGTGCCTGACGTGAGTCGATTGCCTTTGCGGAGTTTACTAGTAAACTATTCCATTTTCAACAAAGGGAAGATAGCCCTGTGGGTTGGTGGTGCCAGGCTAACTGCAATGTCTCCCCAAAACATTGTTGTCTCTCAGTTAATTATCATCACCAAGCTGACAGGTATTGAATAATCAGAATCAATCTGCCCCTGAGAATAAACCATCGCCAGCCTGACAGGTGCATCTTCGCCTTGACGAGGAACCGCAGCGCAGTGTGGTAAGTAACATCCCTCTGGAACAGATTAATCAAGAGCGGCTTTCCAGGTGCGAGGACGTGAGAAGCTTCAGCTGCCGCTCCCGCCGTGGCTCTCGGCGTACATGCTGGTCAACAGCGCCCTCATCTTCTTCTCCTACTTCGAAATGATGGGCAGGTTGAAGGTAGGTTTCAGTTTGCTCTTGTGATGACGTAATTTCCTTTTTATTTT